CTCGGACAAGTTCGATAACCGCCATTATCCGACTGTAATTATTGGAGTTATTCCCCTTGGTTTCATTAATGCGATGCATGCGTTCCATGATGTTGTATTGCACTCATTGATCTACCAGTTATGTTGAATGATTTCTCTTTTAATATCAATTACTCATAAATACTTCATATATTTCAATCATACAAACAACTGCTCATTCAATGTGTGGCGGGCGTATTATATACCGCCCGCGGTAACCTTGTTTTTTGATGTTTTAAATCATGAAATAGGTACTGATATTTTGCCAGTAGCTTTCTTTAGTATACTTTTAAGGTTACAGGTGTAAGATTGAAAGCATAGACATTAATTGACATAATTTTCTTCTAAAGGAAATAGATTGTAATTGAAAAATTGTTTTCAAAATATAGAACCATTAATGATATTGTATATCACTCATTACAGAGGAGACAAGGGTGGCATTAATGTCAGTTTGACAAAGTGCATGCTGTTTACAATCATGTCTAGCCTGGTGTCTGATATGAAACAGGAATAGAACAGAATTTTTTAAAGCATCGTTGTGGTTGATTTTTTTAAATTTAGGAGATGGGAGCAAAAGTGAGAGCAGGATGGAAACAGTTACCTGATTTAGAAAAAGAGGTTAGTATTAATATTTTCATACGCCTGTCTAAAGATGGGATGTATTATACTATCATGTGGGTGGATGGGCGCACACAGTGTCCGCTCGATATCTCAAGTTATTTTCAAACTTCTTAGGAAGGTTAATTACCATGAGAGCTGAGACAAGTTTTATATCAACAGTTATATTACAATTATTTACTTTGTTCCTTTAATTACTTTTCAATGGATTTACTTCAAACTTCATAGGAAAGTTAATTACTATGAGAGCTCAGATAAGTTTGATAACCACCATTATGACATTATGAATGGAATTATGCCCCCTGAATCAGTGGAGTGAGTGAAAGTCACAATTATCTTACCATAATTAATAGACTTATTCTCCTGGTTTCTTAAATGCAATACTACATGCATGGCAAGATGTTTTATTGCACTCATTGATCTACCTTGTAAGTGAAATTATTTATTCTTTAGCATCAAATATTTCATATATTTCAACAATACAAATAATTGCTCATTCAATTTGTGACAGGCATATTATGTACAGCTTTGCGGTATCCTTAGTCAATATGTTTTATAAGTTGAATCTGGCCTTTTGTATTGTAATACCAGGTAATCAAGCCACCAGAATTTAAAAAGTCATATTATATGGAAAACAGGGTAACTGGACCTTGCAATTTCCTTTTTATAGCTGAAGGTAAACAACAGTAAGTAGCAGCATTTTATCACAGTTAGGGGCAGAACCCATAATCGCTCTCACTAGGAACAGAACCCATAACCTCTCTCACTAGGGACAGAACCCATTACCTCTCTCACTAGGGGCAGAACCCATAACCTCTCTCTCACTAGGGACAGAACCCATAACCTCTCTCCACTAGGGACAGAACCCATTACCTCTCTCACTAGGGACAGAACCCATAACCTCTCTCACTAGGAACAGAACCCATAACCTCTCTCACTTCGGACATATTTCATAACCTCTCTCACTAGGGACAGAACCCATAACCTCTCTCACTAGGAACAGAACCCATTACCTCTCTCACTAGGGAAAGAACCCATAACATCTCTCACTAGGGACATAACCCATAACATCTCTAACTAGGGACATAACTCATAACCTCTCTCACTAGGGACAGAACCTATTACATATCTGTACCTCTCTCACTAGGGACAGAACCCATGACCTCTCTCACTAGGGACAGAACCCATAACCTCTCTCACTAGGGACAGAACTCATAACGTCTCTCACTAGGGACAGAAACTATTACCTCTCTCACTAGGGACAGAACTCACAACCTCTCTCACTAGGGACAGAACCCATAACATCTCTCACTAGGGACAGAACCCATTACCTCTCTCACTTGGGACAGAACCCATAACCTCTATCACTAGGACAGAACCTATAACCTCTCTCACTAGGGACAACCCATAACCTCTCTCACTAGAATGAATGCTCAACAAAAAGACAAAGTGGGCCAAGTAGGGTACTAGGAAACCAAATAAGCAACAAAAAAAAGACCTTTAATATTTTTTGTTACTGGAATGAATCAATTACCTTGAGCCTTATCTAAAAGTTAGATATTCACTTCTCTGTCACAACAAGAAACGCTTTTGTATGTCCTCATGTGAACGTTATGGGGGATTGTGTAAGTCTTGCGTAATGTTTGCTTTTTATTGTGTTCTTTCTAAGAAAATATTTCATAATGACTTTGTTTTTAAAAAACTTTAATTTAACCTTCCCTACAGGAACATTTCTAATCTCATCAGCCCTGTTTTAAAATGACTTTCAATAAACCTTTTTGAAAGGTCTAGCTTTATTTTCATTTTAAAGGTTTTTATTACGGATTATGAAAGTAAGATGGAACAATGGAAGGAAGATTATGGAATTTGGGTACAAGAAATGTTAGCAGATGGCTACTCGGAATTCATTACTCCTTCTGAGCTGAAGCAGGTTGGTATTAAGTTTCGTAAAGTGATGAATAGCTATTTATGCACAATTATTTGATGCTCTTCTAGAAAAGAAGTAACACTGGTTTTGAGGTTTGGCTCCAAAAAAATAAAATGCATTTTTAGCTCACCTGATCCAAAGGATCAAATATGTTAAAATCTTTTAACAACTTCTTCTGAATAACCAGGAAGCTCAGGGTGATAATACTTGGCCAGTAACATGCTTGGATGAAGGGCTACAAAGTTTGTTCAAATGAGTGACCTTGACTTATATTCAAGGTCACAAAAGTCAATTCATGTTTTTTTTCCAGCGAATCCACAGTTAAAAAGTCATAATTTGTATATATGTTTTCTTCTTCATCACATCACAACAACAAATAATGATTGTATTACAACTCAGGTGACCGTTTTCGCCCCATGGGCCTTTTGTTAATAAAACTTGAATAGTGAATATAAAGAACGAAATATGAATATGAAATATGAATATGAAAATTTATCAACAATGATTAACCAATACGTTGTATGAGTTTCAGTGAGTATTTCAGGTGAAACTAGAGGCATTCACGGCTCAGACATTTTCTGGTTTTTCGAAAAACAATTATGATCACAACAGGTGTTCTTTTTCAGTCACCAGTAGACTCTTTCTTTTCATTAATAACTTCAACAAAAATATTAAAAATGCACTAATTTTATCTCCTTGCTACAGCCATTGCTTTTTTTTTCTTTATTAGGAGCTACGAAGACTTGGAAAGCCAAAGCGCCCTTTAACGTCCTACATGTTATATCAAAGAGCATGTCAGATGGAGCGAGGCAACATGTCCTTTACAGTAAGTTAATATCAAACAGTTGTGGACAGGAATGCTTAAGTCCTCAAATTACGATTTTAAAGTGTACTCTGAACAAAAATAATAATGAATATATCATCATTCTTCATGATCTAAAAACAAAATTGTCAAATACATAAAAATCAGTCGGCCAAATGCCAAGATATTTCTGAGTGAAGTGTATGATTTTCACCTGTCCTTCTACTTCATTTACTAATCATACCTTCTGATGAATGAGACGCTTTTTGTCTGTGATGTCACAAGTTCAACCACTGTTGTAGCCACCGTGTAAGGATTAGGCTAGAACAGCAATATAGCCTCAGTTTGCGAGTTAAATGAGTGTTGTGGAATCAGATTGTGCCGAAAGATGACGTAATGTAGACGACATCCAGCCATATTAAATTTGCTAGAACTTTTAGACATTGGGTTGAAGGGAAATCCAAACTGACAACTTTGAAGAGGTTGACACGGACTGGTAGCATTGCATTACCAGATTCTGAGCCCTTGAGACAAACTAGCCAATAGACGGCCATCTTTGAATTTGACAGTTAAAGTTTGTTATCTCAATTTCTCAGAAAGAACAGGAGCCGGAGGGATCTTTCTCAAGTTTTGATTTGTATGTTTCCCTTGGTCCCCTTGTCAAAAACACTAAGCCCTTATGAGAAGTATCCCTCGTTGACAGCACTTCTGATTACGTAAAAATTTCACATTTTTAGCATTTTGCATGCCAGTATGTTCTTATACAAAAGCATTTGCAATAGTGGCAAATAACTAATGACATTACCAGGTTTAATTTAATGTAAGTGATTCCCATATAGGATATCCAACATGGAACTGGGCAATAGTACCTCTAAGGTAAATGAAGGGTAGAGAAGGAAAAATATCATCTTTTGTAGATCTGATCAAGTTTCTTGGATGGTAGGCACCAGTATCCTTCTAGAATCTCTTGATTCTGAAATTTCATAGCAGCAACGATGAAAATATTTTGCATCTGCAAAAAAGTTAGTGCAAAATGTTTGTTTTGCTGTTTGTATGAATAAAAAGGCAGCTTTCAATTTTGAGAGGTTAACCCAGTTTGTTCATATCAACTACACATTGAATACATTTTTTTTAATTTTTGGTATAATTTGTGCAGATGAACCAGATGTTGAAATTGACAATTTAATAAACTTGGTAATTAAATATTATATCTTTGAAACAAAATGTTTTAAAAATACATTATCTATATTAGCACTTCTCAATGAAATTAAGGAAACATACAAAGTACAAAACACATTTCAAACAGTAAATATGAGTCAGAAAGATTTCTAGGATATTGGAGAAAATGGTCCCCACTGATGGAGACACCCTGACAATATGCCATATTATATATATATATATGCACAATAACAGTGAAATTTTTTGTTCATAATTATGCTTTGAACAAACTCAAATATCTTCAGAGACCATTTCATTGATATAAGTGGTATACAATGACCTACTTAACAGTATTCCTTCTTAATAACACAACCGGAGAATAGACAACTTTTGCACATAATTTATACTTATTTATGTTAGTGTTGTCTCATGTTTTCAAATGTATGTTTGTATGCAAATTTGTTTGAAAAGGCAGTTTTGATGATTATTACAATCAGTTAACTCATTCACACCTGAAATTGTATGATGAACTATTCCAACCTGTGAATTGGAAGAGTTCAAATGTGTCTTCAGGGGTGAATGAGTTTATATGAGGTCAAATATCAGAGCTGTGTCAAAAAACATACATGCAACCATTTGAAGAAACAATGTTGAATGATTATGTCTGTTGGACAGAATGCTGTAATTTGTTGGCAGAGATATTTTGAGAAAATTTCGAATCCCACTTAATAACAGAACTTCCCTGAAAAAAAAAAGACTTGTGACAGCCACTTCAAATTTTCCTTTCTTTCAGGCGTTTGCCAAAGAGATGGGTTCTCGCTGGCAACAAATGACTGATAAAGAAAAAGAGGTATGTTTTTATTTTGATTATTAATATTTACAGTATTAAAAACTATATCATGGCAGTTTTTACTTTATCCAGATTCCAAAAAAATATGCTTCAAGTTGTCAGAGTGTTAAAATTCATTAAGAAATTAATAAGGACTGTTACAGGTCAGTAGTAAAACCCCTTAACTTGATTGTTGCAATGATCTCCCCAGAATTTTGTGATAAATGGGTGCTTAGAAAATATAACCGGGGACAGATTTTTCAAAAAAAAATAAAAAAAATAGGCAAGAGTGTCATCTGTACCATATTGTCTTAATAAGTACACAACAGATGAACTGGGTTAGAAAATAGTTAAGTAAATATAATGTCATTAGCTCACCTGGACGGAAGCCAGTATGCTTCTGGTCAAATATCATCACCTTGGGCTTATTGGTTATTGAAGAGAATTCGAAGATGTTTTAAGAAAAATGTTGATGGCGGATGACAGATGGTTGGACTAGATTTGACCTTCGGCGCAGCTCTTGTTCCACCGTGGGCTCCACAGGAATTACGACATATCCCACACGTGCTTTCACAAAGTTCATACAGCCCTATAGTTTATATGGATACTATTAATAATGCATGCAAGTTTTCGGCCAGGCCTACGCCACTTCGTCCAGACTTCAAAATTCTAGGTTAGGTTGTGTGATGTGTGTGAGTACCTTTATCGGTATGTTAGGTTTATATGTGCAGTGTGTGTGAGTACCCTTATGTTAGCTTGTGTGCAGTGTGTGAGTATCCTTATGTTAGGTTATGTACAGTGTCTGTGAGGACCCTTATGTTGCCAAACATTGTTGTAAGAATACATGTTATAAATCTGAACTACTTTGCTTGTTGTTGCTTCATAAATTGATTACAATAGGAGCTATGGTCTTCTTTTGCCAGGTTTTCTTTGCAGAAGCAAAAATAGAAAAGGACAATTACATCAAGGACATGTCACAATGGAGAGAAGGCCTGACTGCACAGCAAGTTAAATTCACAGAAATGGCTGAAAAGATAATAAATGGTACTCTCGAAAAAGAACTGAAGTTAGCAGAAAAAAATAAAGCTAAGCAAACAGAAATAGAGAAGAGGGCCAAAGAGAGGTTAGCCAAACAAAAGGAAAAGCAGAAGTTAGGCATACAAAAGGCCAAACAGAGGTTAGCCAAACAAAAAGAAAAAATTAAGTTAGCCAAACAAAGCGAAAAACAGAAGTTAGGCATACAAAAGGAAAAAGAGGAATGAGCAAAACAATTGATATGTTGTGATCAAGATTTGATGAAGTGTTCTTGTTGATCAAGAATATAGGATTATGGCAACAGTAGGGGACACCCGTGCAAACACGGACACTTTTCAAATGATGATTGCTAATACACGCTCTTTGGTACAATTAATCAGCATGCTGTGTGCGATCTATCATAGATGTCGTCTATGAACATATTTAGTTAGAATGAAGGTCCCTTTCTGTTGCTATTTTTAGTTATGCTTTTAATTGGTTGGTAAAATGAACACTTAAATATAAACCAAAACACGGAATATATAGGAATCGGTTGTGATACGGACACATGTAGGGTAATTACGGACACGTGTAGAGTAATCACAGACACGTGTAGGGTAATTACGGACACATGTAGGGTAATTACAGACACGTGTAGGGTAATTCGGACACGTGTAGGGTAATTACGGACACGGGTAGGGTAAATACAGACATGTATAGGGTAATTACAGACACGTGTAGGGTAATTACAGACATGTATAGGGTAATTACAGACACGTGTAGGGTAATTACAGACACGTGTAGGGTAATTACGGACACCTGTAGGGTAATTACGGACATGCTACTCTAATCATGCACTCACCCAATCATACCATAGAAACTGGTCACAATGTTCCACCAGGGGTTGCTACATGTTCAGCTCCCAGTTCATGTTTTTATCCTGTAGGCATACAACATACCAGGCAGTTTGTAATTATAACTTACCATTCCTATAGAGCCCTGGCATGCTGCTGTTTGGTTTTATGATATTGGGGAGCCCATAATGTACATTTAACAGCCTATTAAGGTGTAAAATTGTGTTAATTCTGAAATCAGTTGTTTGCTTGTTTGTGGGAGAAAAAACAGATGAGGGGAGAAGCAAAGGGAAAAAAACAGAAAACGTCCAGAAAATAATGAATCCCGTATCAATTCCTTTCATGAAATACAGTCTTTTAAGAAATTAGCATACTGTTATTAAAGTTAACTGGTATAGAACCAAAACGTAACGATATCAAATAAGATGCAGTCTAATATTTCTGTGAATTAGTATTTCATTTTATTATCTCATTTTCTCTTATTATATTATCATAATTTCTTTTATGATATGTCATTTTATATAAGCTCATAGAATAACAAAAGAAAGCCGATATGTCCTATCAGCTATGGTTCATGTAGCCTTTTGTAAGAACCACCTAAATATTAATCAATCATTAAAGAACTTTCCGTATTGACCCGCGTAATAAAAGTCTGGTAGAAATTACGGATGCCTCAGACACAACAGTTCTTCCTCAAGTTTTTATAATGATAAACTACTGCAATCTAAGTAAAATATATGTAACATCATTAAGAGTACAATATCAAGTATATGTATTTGGTTTTCGTGAAGATAATTGTAGCATAACTGTTGTCTCGAATCCTGGCTTATTTTTTGGACATCGCTTCCGGAAATCAAGTTTCTGTACGTCCCGCAAAGGTAATCGCATGACGACGAATATTATTAGGCACGCCATTGCTATTTTTAAACTTTGGGATATTTTGGTTACTGTCCACAAATGAAAACAAACATCCATACCAGTAGATTGATCTATGTCTAGCATGAACAGAGTTTGATTTAATTACATGTAAGGGATTATGTTTGCCTGCCTGTCCGTATTTACCCGGATGTCCCCTACTGTACTGTACAAAATAGTTGCAAGAGAAGACATATTACCATTCTTCTGTTGAGATTCAAGTAACCTTTGTACAAGACTTATTTGGCACTGATAGTTGAGTCAGGAAATATTTCAATTGTATGTTTTACAAAATGAAATCTGATCCCTTTTTGAGATCTGAGATTAATTGTGTTAACAGAATTATATATCTGTTTAGAGTTCATCATGGGAATAAGTCTGGGTAGATGATGAGCCTTCACACTTACTGATGGGTAACGTCAATGAAGAAATATTTTTGGTTTAGGGTCACTCCATCTGCCCTCAATTTTTACTCCTGACCATTAAAGTTTTATGCCCAGATTTGTGCTCGATGGACACATTGTACTTTTTTTGAAAAATAAAAATAAAAGCTTACCAACTTGATCACAAGTTATTATTTTGAAACCATGGAAACAAAAAAAATGTCTCAGGTCATCTGAAATATAGTAAAAAGTCTCACATTTTCTATCTTTCATTATAATCATTTATATCTTATATTGAAGAGAAAGGATCTGGACACCCATAAATAATTTAATGGTATTCAGTTATTTCACTTAGTTTTTGAGTCTTTGTCTCTTGTACATGTATATAATGTTATACTGTATATCTCAAAAGAAAGCCTGTTTTGTAATGTTTAATGATCATAAGTCTACAATGTTTTTAAATAAACAAATTACAAATTCAGGTGTTGTTGTTTGAGTTTCAGATTAAATGTAAGTTTTGTTTGTTTGTGTATTAGGTCCTATTGGCTCATTCCCCGAATACCAACTCTGGAAAATTCAAAGGACGGTGTTTATATAGGAAATCCTTTGAAGTTTAGTTATAGCCTGTTTCAACTAAGAATGTCAACTCATTTTGTAGATATGATACTAAAGTCAATAATAAAATGGATAGAAAGTTTTTATTCATACATAAAATAACTGTAATACACATTTAATACAGCACTAAGTAATAGAAAATAATCATTAAATATTGATATTTACATTATATGAAAAAAAATAGCATTACATTATATGAAAAATAAAATTCCTTAATACAAGCCACATTGATACTAATGTCAGCAATAAAATAAAGTTTCTATTCATACATATAACAGTAATACACATTTAATACAGCACTAAAGGATAATTATTAAGTTTCTAGCACAAATCACATTCTCTATATATATCACTTAAGTCTCTAGCACAAAACATTCTATCCCAGATGCAAAAGCTGTGATGCTGAATCGGCGTAGGTCATCATGTCGATAGTTCCAGTCTGATAACGGTCTTTCAGGGTGTCCAGGCGTCTGTCAATGTTGGCGTATCTCTTCTTTCGGGGTTGAGTAGTGCCTCCTGCATCTCTCTGGATCCGGCTGATGTCATTCACGTTCTGTATGTCCTTTAACGTCTGGATGATGGTGTAGATGTTGGGGTGGGCATGCAGTACTCTTTTCTTCAGTTTTCCGTGCCAAGCTTCCAGATGGTTGGTTGTCCGAGGTCCTTCTGTTGAGAAGTGGTTCCAGGTTGGTCGGTCTCCTTCTACCCATGGGAAAGGTTCTGTCCGCCTTTTCTGTTGGTGATGAACCTAACGTTGATCTGAGCGTTTGCCATCTTGTAGTTGATGTATCAAAGCACACAATAACAGATAAAGTCACACAAGTTCACACAAATCTGAAAATAAGTTCAAGTTTTATATGACAATAATTATAAGAGAAATCACACAAGTCTGAAAGTACAAGTTTAACTAAAACGATGACAAATTCTGAATACAAAATTCACATTCACTGAGTAAAGGAGTTGATGTGCGAAATATAATTCTCCAAAGTGTGCTGCTGTTTTATACATTACCCATTTAACAGCTTGGGATCGGAACTCTAAATATTATTGATTCTTTTGCAATTATTAGCAGCTATTGATTATCTGATTAGTTATCAGAAGTTGATTTACCTGTGCAATTTACCTGTACACTTTACTGCAATAGACTATAACTCACTATCATCACAACTGACCACCTATGTAAACATGTGATTTTAAGCAGAGTTGGTATTCGGGGAAGACCCCGTCCTATTAACAGCTAGGGTCATTTAAGGTTTTAGTGGCGGAGGAAAGCCGTATTCCCCAGAGAAAAAACCGACCTAAGGCCAGTACCTGGTGACTGCCTCACATAGGCCTCGAACCCGCAGCCCAGTGGTGGAGGGCTAGTGGTAGCAGAATGTCAGACGCCCGATTAAATAGATTAAATTTAAATTCAGCAGTCATTTTTACCAAAAGAATTCTATGGAAGAGAATGATAGTCTTCACTACCTTAGTTTGAACAATGGCTGATCGTAATTAATCTATATGAAGGAATAAAATGTTATTTGTTTTCCGCTGATTATTGATTAGGGACCGTATTCATGAAACTGTTCTCACGCTAACAGTCAATATCTGTGCTCAAGCCAAATTTCTTATTCCAGTGATTAATTATTCAAATAACATATATATTGTCAGTATTTTTTGACAAAATTGGGAGAGGCTTCAAGCGGAATTCTGTTTTAAATTATCACACTTGACTATCTGAGTGTCTCGTGTGATGAAAGCAAGTGACAAGAAAGTTGGTTTGAGCACAAAATCCATGCTTGAGCATGAGAACAGTTTCATGAATTCAGGCCCAGATCACAGCAGCCGCATTTAATATTTGTGAGTTTGGTCAAACATTGAGCTTTTGAGCAAGGAACTTTCATCTGAATTCACTAATTCCGATCTCAGCAGCCTCATGATCAGATATGCATACATTTTTCTAACATGGGCCTTTGGTTGTGCATGTTTTATTTTAAAACTCATCAGAAAAACAAGATGGTCACAAGGCAGCAATCCTCAGTTGTGAAATTTCCAACTTATTTTCACCATCTCTCACTAAAGAAGTTCTTGACAGCTCTTTTTCGAATGTCGTATGAAGGTTTCTCTTCATAATTGTGCATGTCTTATTTTGAGAGTAGTCAGATTAACAAATTGGCTGCCAGTGGCCATCTTGGAATTCGACAGTTTAAATTTGTTATTGCTATTTTTCAAGTTCTTGACAAATAATGCAACTACACGCTTTTATACTAAATCAAAATATTTATTAGATATTATTTCTATAATATATAACAATTGTAATGAGAGCATGCAAATGCTGATCAACATGATTTATACTCTAAGCACTCGATTCCAAAATTTGTATGAAATTCAGCCATATTCCACTGACCTAAAAGTTATTGTAAATATAACAGCCTTTACCCTTTCACCACTGTAGACCATAATGGACTCATCCAGATCAATGCATGGTAGAGTTAACTAAAGTTACCTAGGGGTTAAAGGGTTAAACCACTTTTTAGTGTACTTGCACCTTTTGTTCTCTATATACCCAAGTGGAAGTACGGGTACATGAATTGCCTGGCGCAAACATGTAAGCAATTCTTTCTTCATTTAAAGGCTTAATAAATTCTCATAACAAGTGTGTTTGGTCTTGAATTGGAGTAATTCTGAGTGATGTTGCCCAGCAAATAAACGTGTTGATGAATCCTACTTTAGTACTTCTATTTTTTTAATTTTTTTTTAGGTCACCTGAGACAAAGTCTCAAGTGTCCTATTGCGATCGCCTTTTGTCCGGTGTGCGTGCGTAAACAATTTACATTTTCGACTTCTTCTCCAATGAAATTTTGCAGAAACTTTCCATTGCCAAAGGTCAACAAAAATAGTGGCCGGTTTGGTCCCCAGCCCCCAGGGGCTACATACCATACGCTGACTCGGTACACAACTTTGATACACTATGCTGTCACAACTAAGTCATTTCACCATTCTTGAAGAAATAAATCATCAATAAAATGTTGTTTTTTCTTCCTTTATATGGGAGGTCACTTACTCATCTAGAACCAATATCATCACTTTGGGCTGTTTTATAATGAATATGGACAGGATGTTTAATGGTTTCCCATTGAAAACCATAAAAATTTCACGAGAACAGTAGAAAACCAAATTTTTCACAAATACAAAGCACAAGTGAAAATGTTGGTATATTCTGCTATACCATTGCCTGAATTAGTAGCATAATATTTAATTTGATGCAAGGTTTTAATGATGTCATGCTGTGCGCCATTTTGAATAAACCACTCAACACAATCTATCATTTTCTGCTATTATCTGGTACAATTGCTTACAAAAGTTTTATCGATGACGCAGTAAATCTGCCAATGTTTGCTTGAGATGATGGTGACCTCGCTGATAAAAACGCTGTTGGAAATAATTTTCTTTATGTTCATATTCTCCTGCTTTAACTTATTCACCCCAGAAATTTCAGAATGAACTATCCCAACCTTTGAATTGGAAGAGTTCAAAAGTGTCTTCAGGGGTGAATGAGTTAAAACATGTCTGAATTCATTACTCTTTTTCCTTATATTGATTCATAAAAAAAGTTTTGTTCTTAGTTGACAAAGAAAATAAAGAAACAAAGAAAACAATGCAAAATGGACATTGACAGAAAATACCCTTTTATTTTGTTAATGATAATAAGTGTTCAGCTAGTTACAGAAATTCTTGATATGCTGTTACTGAAATAAGCTATTGCAGAAATGCAAGCATAAGCAATTTTAGGCATAGGGTCACTTCTGTCATAATAAATACACGTAAATTATAAAGATAACGAACTATTTTAAAAACCTCATTAAACCTGTATAGTTACATTAATGTTTTTAGTACAGTGAAACTGGTACATAAAGGTTTCCCAACCAGTGAGGGTTGGTTGTCGAGTTTATCCAACTTGAGTTATTTCAAACTGTATATGAGGTTTACTGAGTGTCTTTTACAATTTGAAAATTAATGAACTCAATTTAGAAAAACATGACGATCAACCATCAAGAGTATGGGGACCTTTTTCTCCTACAATGCTCATTTATATTATATCTAGAAAACCATATGTTTCTATTTGGAATACATTATTCTTGTTTTCCAGTCAGGGAATTCAATTGCCATGAACTACGACATCACAATGAAAGATGATTTCGAAAAGCATTCTTATTTTATAATCAGAAGATTGACCAGTTAAATAACATCCAGGGTGTTATCCACTAGTGTGTAACCAAAATTGCTCAGCAACTCCAAGCAGGTTTATCCAAGAAGTCCGAAAGTGTGAAAACCTATAGTGGCTATAGGAGATAAAAAAAAATCCCGTACCGACAGTAAGATAATATATTTCACAGATTCAATTTACAATGGAAAATATACATTGAGACCTAGGCCATGTATTTGTATGAAAAAAGTACAGATGCACATGTGTTTGACCTGACTAGCCCCTCACACTTAAAAAGTTATAATAAATATCAACATATGACTGTTTTCTGACACCCCCATCATAACCAGTTCTTTGACTTCCATATGGCATTTCTGCAATGCTTCCTCCTGGACAGTAATGCATTTAAAAGTAGACGAACCAGTGGTTTCACATCAAAGAAAAGCCACCAAGTTATAAGTCGAGTTTACAAAGATTTCTGGATTCTACAGGGTTTAGTTCACACATGTTTAAATGCAGATGACTATTTAACATATAATATCATTTCTATTTAGTTTCCATGATAACTATTCATTCATTTAGCTCATCATGCAGGTTCATATCTTATATAAGTTAATATCTCTATTACAAAATAAAACAATGTTATGATGTCTCCTGTGTGATGAGCATATTGCTGCAGAAAAATGCACAAAGGTAGATTGAGAAGTCCTCGTACACCGCTGCTATGTTGCCCATGATTTTGTTGTAGGTGATAATCAACTCAGGTTTTAAACCACACAACATCAAGGCACTAGACAATGCTGTCCCTTTGTGGGCGATATCCTGGAAACATAAAAACAATAGCAATGTTAAGTACATTTCAAGGAGACACCTAAAAGTGTAAACCTTGGACATTAAAATACAATTACAATCTTCATGTTGACATGCATATATTATAAGCTGAAATTGGACAATCATTGCTCTAGAATTTTATAACATTGAAAATTAAAGGAAATTTTGAATTCACACTTTATTGGGGCTGGTGAAAGTTTCATTATTAACTTTGAAAATTGGGAGAACTTTTCAAAAATCAACCTATGGGCTAGTATTCTAGATATGGAATTGTACCCCCCTGCCTGTGTATGTCATGCCAGAGCACTAAACTTGTCTTCACTTTACTTAACGGCATGGCAGAAACAGTACCAGGTATGAAACTTCAAATGTGTACAGTATACTGAACTTTTACGAAGGACTTTACCTTAACAAACGTGATCCTGTAGTAATACACTGCTCCTTGCAATACTGTAAATGGTAGGACAATAGTCTGAAATAGAAGATAAACAGGGTTTTAATTCAAACATTGATCCAGAAAGGTAATTAACTATATCCCCGAGGAGTTGTATCCTCTTTTCAATCGAGCATCCCAGCAGTTTTTTAAAATCATCTTTAACATGTTATGTTATGGAGGGTTGCTATATTTTTCAAAGATAAAAAATATAAACTGTCTCCAATTTCTTCAAGAAATGGAAGTGTTTCAAATTTTTAAATGTATTAAATAGCAGAGCACAATTTAAGAGTCATAAAGGTAAGGGTTGTATTCAAAGAAGAAATGATGCATGACTTGAATTTTTACTTTTTCTGGTGTTTTTTTATATGAATAATTATATATGCTTTAAGGTTGTTACAATAGCCCTTTTTCATAAGACTTAGTACAGCAAGTGTATATACATATACATTCAAGCAACCTGAGTAGATATGATCAAATCTGAACAATACTATACACAAACTATACTATATTATATAGGAATGATGTATTTAAATTTATTATTGACCCCGATCCTCACAAATTAATATGAAATTATACATGTTTTAAAACTGATGTCATGAAATACATTAATGCTAATTTTAGTGAACACCTAAACACCTAAATAATTTTACCTGAAAATAAAGGAGACCTATCCCCAATTGTAGTACAACCCTTGACAGAACTGCAACGAAGACGCAGCCGGCCAGCCTAAGAAGGTTAAGCTGTTGCTGAGGTGATCGCTGTGAAGAAGACTTGGGTTTGGAGCCCCCTTTAGATGATGGCCCTTTACTGGATTCTTTGTCTGTTGGTTGTGCTGCTTGTTGAATCTTTACTGTGTTCCTTGTAGCTCTGTGACGTACACCGTCTGTATCGGACTGTGGAGAATGAAGCCTGTCTGAAGCTTGCATAAACGATGTGGAAGTATTTTCTTCTGTTCCAACTTTTACCGTGTTGCCAAGGATGCAAGTTTCTAGGTCTGATTGTCCGGTTTTATTACTAGGTACATCTGATGAATTGGCATCTTCATTTCTCTTGTGTTTAGTGACTGTAACATCATTGTTTGTATTTATTTCCTGCACTGGTTCCGATACTTTCAAATTATTAGCAACATTGGTTGTTGTTGATGTCACTTCATTGTCTGAAAACAAAATTGAAAAGAAAATTTGATATTTACAAGTGAAAATTGATGATGCATAATCGCATTCTTCAACCTAGCCCCTGTTCATACTATATATGAATTTTAACCAATGCAATAATAGCACAGATTTCGATTACATGGACATCAAATTATTTCAGTATCTGTTCTTTTCAGTGGTTCTATTGAAGATTTTCACATTTATCTGGGACACTTTGGCACTTATCAACATATAAAGGAGAACTTTTTGCCTCAACTCTGTATATAATGGGACATTCTACCTTTTTTCAGTTTTGGACACTCTGCCTTCTGAAGATGCACAAGTACAGCACATATGGCGAATGAAGGCTAGATGAAATAGCAAGGAAGACATGCCCCAAACAAAATATTGATGCCCAGCCAGCCAGTCACGATTACAAAGCCATACAATAACACGCTCTGCCATAAACAGATACACGTATATATATGAAAATAAATGCCATCACTACATACACATGTATATGAAAATAAATGCTATCACTACAGAGCAAATATTAATATAGCATACATTTTATTTTCTCTTTATAAGAGTAACTCATTAAAACAGATAAAAGCCCCACTTTTGCCTTGATATTGTTATCCATGAAGTTAGTCTTCCAAAAACACTATGTGAGTGATTGCTGGAGCGGCTATTTCTTAGAGTAATTTCCTATCATCCACAGGCCGGCCTAGATAGTTTGAGAACTTTGACAATGACACACTGGATCAGAGACTCGAGACATTTTATGCTGGCATTCAAAAAGACGATGGGATACCTCCCAAATCATCAAATTACAGTATCCAATACAGTTTGAATAAAAAACATATATGGCAAAATGGGGATTGGCAATAACAGCAATGACTTAACTTAGTGTAAATCTGTTTAACGCGGCAACATACAATTTCAAGAGAAAGTGGCTTGGGAGAGTGGACCTTCCTATTGTTGAACATGATCTGAAAAGGGAGGGAAAACTCCTGTGCTTTACCTAGGATCCCCTTTTTGACTCCAGAATAAGTCTGGTCTTTGGGTATAATAAAGCAATTATTATCCCCCGCTTTCACCAAAACAGGGGATATTAATTTGGGTTTGTGCGTTTTCGTTTCCGTGCAATGCCTTAAGGGCTCAGCCAAGTAAGATAACCACTTTCAACCGATGTGATTTGTGAATATATTTATGGATAATTAACGAGGTGCAAGACTTTTTTTCTTCAAGTTTCAAGCTGAACGTTATATTATGTCCCAACAGCACAGTGAAACTCGCATGTTTAAACCTAACCTCAATAATGTTTTCCTACATTATGTGCTGCAAGCAGGGGATATAAATTCCTTGAATTTGCTTGTTGTCCTTGTTCTGGGTGGAGATGAATATTTGTCAACCATTGAGATGTTATGTCAACCTCGGGCTTCGCCCCCAGAACATGAGCAAACCTCGGGCTTTGCCCCCAGAACCTGAGCAATAATTGTAAAGTGTACAAATGTAGCTCATTGTATTATTTCTATGACTGCAAACAATGTACAGAGTATTTATAAGTAAGTCATAATGGGTGTCAGACTATAGCTATTTACCCCAAAACCATAACACCCCTGGGCCCAAATGTGATTCATATTGCCCCAACCACAGGGACCGGAGAATTTGTAACAGCTATATTTGGACCGAAACTAAGGTGTTCAGAGTAATTTTACTTGTTTTAGGGGTTTAGGGTGAAAACTCTCGATATTGGACAGATAATTTTTCTTTCAAAAACCTCCAATTTGCACGTAAAATGTATTCTCCTCCTGTGGACATGTTCTCCATTTCCTCCAAAATCACACGCCATTTCAGAGTTTCAAAGTTGTTCCCAGTCATTGTGCCACTTTTTGTATTTTAATGAGATTGATGTTGGCCTTGTGCCGAAACATGCAGTGTTGTTTGGTTTAGCAAAAAAAATACTGCTTCATTCCTATCACACCACAACCTATCTATCTATATCTATCTAGATATTCTGCAACACCCTCTTTCGAGTATTATGTGCAGCGTGCGCGTCTGTGCATGTTAAGGAGGCTCCACCCTTTCGCAATTAGCCATCAGAATTCAATGAAAGTTTCACATGATGGTTATGTCACTATGTAGAGATGATTTTATGAAAATCTAAGCATTCCGATAAACTGGGGATTTATTTGTAAAAAATACTGAAAAATTGAATATTTGTCAAATTCAACACTTTCACATTTTTTGAGCGTGTGGCATTGTTCAAAACTATTACAACAATAAAATAATGAAAAGAAACATTGCTAAACAACCCTACAAATATTTTATTTATCATAAAATATCTACAACATGTTACAAAAAGCGTTTTTTATTGAAACTATATGGATAAAAGTACTAAATACAAGCCTAAATCAAACAGGACACATAGTTACAAACAAAAAGAGTGAAAAATTGAACCAAATACACACAAAGTCTTTATAATTAATTTATTTTACATTTTAAAATTATTTTGATACTGATGAGAGTTGTCTACCTTGAAAAAAATCGGAACTTTTTGCAGAGGGAAAGAATTTATACAATGACACTTATTTTATTTAATATACCAAAAACGACGGAAATAAATTAAATTACTATATTTATTTGTCAATTTACTGTTCTTTTATGGAACAAAATTACTCTCAATCATGTACACTTTGGACATCATTCCATAGCCTGCTTACGCATGGTATATTAACATGTCAGGTACATATGTAACCATAGGCTATCGCATGGTATGCCGTTATTACGTGCACGCACATGCACTTGCATTTTATAGGGATCTTGATATTTTACAAACCACTATTTTCACAGAGTTATTGTAATTGCATTTGTGAACCGATTTATCTGACAGAGCGTAACTCGCTCGACAACAAAAGTCGTAGCGACCAAGAGCTTTTGAACTACTGTTAGCACGTGATACGTACAGGTGAGGTCGGTAAACAAAACACATCAGTCTGCATTCCAGGTGCCTCATATACGACCTTCTTGAAGTCGTCTGATCGTATGTCAGTGTTTTCCCGTGAGTTAATTAATGTCTTTGTATCATAAGGTTTATTTCTGAAGTACGTGTGGTAACACATTTCCAAGTTAAGTCTAGATATCGGGTGTTGACATATCATGTCACGCACGTGTACTATTGTTTACCCGGTGTTACTATAATTTACACTACGGTAATGGAATGCCCGATACGCAATACGGAAATGACGACAAAAAAATACGACAAGAAAAACATGTGTATTACGAAGGGTGGAAACTCCTTAAAAGGTATTGTGTGGTTACCGAAATAGAAATGATAAAGTGCGGACTGGTGCATGCATAAGGGAGAGAGAGAGGAAAGAAAGAAAAGTGTGATGAGAGAGTATAGCAACCTCATTAATATATATTAATTTGATGCAAGAAAGGTTGGTGTGGTTGACATTCCGACATCGAGAGCTTTCCGCCCTTCTCGTAATCGTACATTTGATCATTGGGGTGTCATTTTTACCAAAAGTCGACCCCAACCACCAAAATATGTCAAATTACTCTGAACACCTTAGTTTCGGTCAAAATATAATCTATTTTGTGACCTGTGCATTTCATTTTCCATGAACAGTACAGTATCAAATGTTGTTGGAAATCATGAACGATTTCTTTATTGTACATCATTTAAAAGTTAATAGTTTCAGCACACCTGTGTTCGTTTCTGTTAGCCCGTATAAGATATTCATGCGTTTTTCGCGATTCTGTAATATTTTTCTACTTCGTGCTTCTCTTCTTGCTTCGAGATCCGCCATTTTGAATCATATATGTCATTTAGTTTCGCATTATTTCGATTACATTTTCTAACGATTTCCATGTGATCAGTTAAACTAGTAAACATATAATTGAAATTGTTTTGAGTATACATATATGCATGAAAGTTCTTTCTTTTCCCGATTTTTTTCGTGAAAGGAAATCCAATTTTCCGAAAATGCGTCCAATATTTTGCCTGTCAACTTTCGCCATACTTTCATTTTGTAATCTCGCTGTCAACATATCTGTCAAACTCTTTCGGGGATAATGTAATGCCAATCACCAAACAAGAAAATAGAAGAACCTTTAATATGGCTGATGGATTCGACATTATACGCTGTTCTTAAATTCTAGTTTCAGGAAGATTTATTGTTCAAAGATGAAGAACTTCGAAATTTCGATTGATCACAAGCATTGACAACTTTCTTGGAAAAGGTGTATTCCTACAGGAATTAGGTGTAAGCATGCCCGATGCCATCCAACCCCAGTCGTTCAGTCATTTAGCGAAGAAGCTTCTAGCCGGAGGTATGCTTTATGTTGAACAATTTGTTATACCCATATTTGTAAAATCGTTTTATAATAACCATTCCTTCCATACTTACTAATGACAATAACATGTGTGAGACTAGCGAACTCACCATACTGAATTGACAACCGATACCATCTGAATTATGCAAATATTTCTTTTCTCTGTATTAAAGCTGGTTAAGAATATAAGCGATACCTTTATTTTTCCGTGTACCCTTTATAGAAGTCAAATATGGGAACACAGATTACTCAAGCCAATGCACAACCAATATATTGAGTTAAAGGATTAGCCAAGTCATTAAAATTTTCACCATTCATTCAAACATATGTTATTGACACTGAATAGTCGAATGGGCACAAGTTCTTACAACTTACCAGGCCCTTTCACCATTCAACCTTCATGGAAAGGAATGCTAGTCGTTTCGGTAACAAGTGGTTTCGGTAACAAGTGACTTACTCAAGTCGTTTCGGGACATATAAAAAATATAATCAAAATATAAATGAATGTTACAAGTTACATTTCTCTTTCCCGTTTCGTAAAAATCTGTGTAAACACAGCTTTCGTTGTAGCCTTTCAGCAATGACGTCACGATTTATGTGTACACAAGAGTACGCATATGGCGGCTTCGACCTACCCATGCTTATGATTTAGTTTTGCCAATTAGCGCCACGCTTAGATTGCTTGAGGGGGTACTTGCCAACATTAACCCGATTGACAACATGTTGTTAATTTGATTAAACTAATCCCATTATTAATTAGAGAGGAACGAACACCAAGTACCGAACCGAACGCGCGGTCAATATCAATTTCGGCAGTATGTTTCAGTGAGGTAGCACTATAAAGTCGGCATCAGTTCCGCGCTATCACAAGGAGACAAACACGAACATATCGCAGCCTCCCAAAATACACACACTAACACTACACGCATGCATCTTGCACACAGGGGAGGCCGTCCTTAAATGACCTTAGCTGTTAATAGGACGTTAAACAAAATCAAACAAACAAACAAACAAACAAATCAATTAATCAATCAATTATTTTTACCTAATTTCATTGGTTATTTAAGGTTCCTTGTTTGATATCGTGATAACATGTTTTCGTTTTACTCTTTTCCCTATTTAATGTGGCCAACTAGATCAAGTTTCCCTTTTTACAGAAGTACTAATTTGACAGTAAATTCTGCATATAAAAAGTATCAAATTTTACAATGTAGACTAGTACGGTGTGTTTTTGTAACTCTCATTGTTGATACCATGATTACAGTGATCTCCTCACTGAGGTACTCGGAGCATCTCCAAACATTTTTTTTAATTTGACAGTAAATTCTGCATATAAAAAGTATCAAATTTTACAATGTAGGGTGTGTTTTTGTAACCCTCATTGTTGAAACTATGAAAACAGTGATCTCCTCACTGAGGTACTCGGAGCATCTCCAAACGTTTTTTTTGTTAAAGTTATGAAATCAAAGAGCTCGTTACTGTTTGTTTTGCTGAAATTTTGAAAACTACTCGATTAAAAAGTAAACAAAACAAACATTAACACGTGTGCTAAACAAACAGTAGAAAATAATTGAGATGTCCCGAAACGACTTTTGACACTCCCGAAACGACCCGGAAAAAGGTCCCGAAACGACTTCCGTCTTGTTACCGAAACGACTTGTTACCGAAACGACCTGACACCATGGAAAGCACCTAACACAGAGTCTTCTTGAAAGACCTTGTCAATGAGTCTTACAGTTGTGCTTGTGAGAGCATTCTTTACAATTATATATATACAGCATCAATTACGTGTAATGTAATAATTTGTGTTTTAATCAATGAGAACACTTAAACAAGGTATTGATTCAACACCACAGAGTTTAAAACTGTAGTGGACTATTGGTTATAGATACTGAATCCAGATATTTTAGCAATGTAATGATTTTTTTACACAAGTCAACAACAATGGATCCGGGTATGGAATATTGTGTTGGACGACACAGATCATTCACATGCCTCAATAATTTGTTGCTTGCACAACACTAATTTATTATAGATGAGTCAAGATACCAGTGATTTGCAGTCTTTGCTTACATTGTTTCAGGTGCTGCAGGTTGCTGTGCTAAAACTGCAGTTGCTCCTCTGGATAGAATTAAAATCCTGCTGCAGGGTCATAATCACCATTACAAACATTTAGGTAAACAATTCATTTCAGTTTATTTGAGCTGCAGTAAATAAAAACAAAGTATGAGCGTGATCTAAGTGCTTGTTTCTGACAATGCTTGGCATTTAGCAATTTCAGAAGTCAAATAATATTTTCATTTGAATTAGGAGGGTCAAAATGGAAGTCAAAAAGACATGTCAATGAAAATTAATATGTTAGGAAGAATATCTTGGTAATTTGAATGTGCTCCAAGAATGTTAACTGGCTTACCAAAATGATTTCCCCCTTTTTCTGCAAGGAGTTTGTCATATCCTATAGTGAACTTTTTCACTACTAATTCTAACGTATTTCATCATGGATATTGCATACTTGTAAATTTCTGTTTTGATAACAGTTAAGGATTACTAATTTTCATAAAAGAGTAATCTTATACCGTGATAATGTGCTTTTTAGGTGTAGTTTCATCATTACGACAAGTCAAGAACAAAGAAGGCTTTTTCAGCTTGTACAAGGGGAATGGCGTTCACATGCTCAGGGTGTTTCCATATGCTGCTATACAATTCACTTCATTTGATATCTTCTACAAGGTACAGTGTTTAATATGATAATAATCTATATTTAAAAAGCATAAATAACTTCAGCAGGCACTTTATAAAAAAAAAACCACTTTATTTTTGAGCAAAATGACATCAACGTAATCAGTGATTATGTATTCAAGCATTTTAACCCTTTCACCACTGTTGAAAACAATTGACTATTCCAGATGAATGTATAGTAGAGTCTACTAAAGTTACCTTGGGGTGAATGGGTTAAGTAATTTACAGAATTCCTGTATGTAATAAGCTTTTTATGCAACATTATTTTAGACTACTATAATTTTAAATCCTTTGATTTGTCATATTACAATTTATAAATAGAATTTTAATAGTGGGTAATATAGTTTGTATACCTTTCTCTTTCTCTCTGATTTGAACCATCCACACTAAGTAAATATGATATGAATTCAAATTCATATGCATAATTATTTATTTGTCACCACAGGGACTGAGAAATCTATATGGGGATGACCACATCCATCTAATACGATTGACAGCTGGCGCTGTGGCAGGTATGTACCATGAACATGTATAGATAGATTATCTTGATTAATGAAAACGAAATTATACTGTTGAATTTAAAAAGGTATGCTAAGGTGTTCCTTTTCTCAAGCCTCTTATACATTCAGCAAAAACAAATTCCTCAACGCTATATCTATGAGCCAGTTGTAATGATACTCTGTTGTGGTCAGTGCAGGCCTTTTGAACCAGTTCTTTGTTTCAGGTCCAACAGCAGTACTGTTCACGTATCCATTGGACTTTGTGCGGGCTAGACTAGCATTCCAAGTGTCTGGGGAGCATATCTACACAGGTTTAGTGGATGCCCTCCGGTCAATAACATCTCAAGAGGGCGGAGTCCGGGCCCTGTATCGTGGCATTGTGCCCTCATTACTTGGCATGGTGCCCTATGCTGGTACGTTCAGCGAATACTGTAAACATTAATTTGATTGAATTCTCTTTTAAAAGCATTCAATGGGTATAAATTAACCAATAGTGATCTCACTTGGGTTTACAATGTATATGGAAAGATGGTGAGCTATTCAAACCCTGCGTCCGTTGTCCATCCGTCATTCCGTCCGTCATTCCGTCCTTCCTAAAACAGTTCTTTTAGCGCTATTCCTCATAAAGAACTGGAGGGATCTCCCTCAATTTTCACATGAAGATTCCCCATGATCCGTAGTTATGCATATCGTTTTTTGGGACTGATCGCAAAACCAAAATGGCAGACAGGCAGCCATCTTTAATTTGAAAGTTAAAGTTTGTTAGCACTATTTTTCAGAATGTGCTAGAGGGATCTTTCTCAAATCCTACATGAAGCTTCCCCATGATCCCTAGTTGTGCATATCATATTATGAGACTGATCGCAAATCCAAGATGGCCGCCAGCCAGCCATCTTGAATTTGAGAATGAAAGTTTGTTATCGTTATTTCTCAGAATGTTCAGGAGGGGTCTTTCTCACACTTCACATGAAGGTTCCCAACGGTTTGTCGTTCTGCATTTCGAATTTTGGGGATGATTTGGAAAATCAAGATGGCTAGCAGGTGGTCATATTGAATTTTGGAGTAAATGTTTTATAGCCCTATTGCTCAAAAAGTATTGGAGGGATCTTTCTCAAATTTCACATAGGGTTCCTCTTGTTCTTGGTTATGCATATCAAATCATATTGGTCGGCCATCTTGTTACAGTTTAAGTTTGTTATCACAATTTCTCAGAATTTACTGGAGGAAATTTTCTCAAACTTGATATGTAGGTTCCCCTTGGTCCTGAGTTGTGTATGTTAACTTTTGAGATTGATAAAAGGATTGATTAAGATGGCAGACAGGCAAATTGATCAAACAGATAAGAGAAAAGAAGAGAAAAGATCGAACTGACAAAGAACTACTGAAGATGGTACAATGGTGGGTGCCAAGATCCCTCTTGAATCTCTTGTAGAATAATCACAATGTATATTTTAGAATAATCACATTGTCTATTCAGTGGTTTTTTTTTGGTGAAATTTACTTATTGCAGTGACTACACTGTTCTTTCATTGGTCACATTCTTTATCAAAATTCCTTTTTTACACAATGGTAGGATATAATGATGTAACCAGTCTATAGCGGACCCCTGAATTATCTTAACTCCTGTATAGACCAGACCTCGATCTGTAGGTATACTCTGTATACATTTATTATGTAAATAAAAACCTGTGTAATCTGCACAAGTCATTCTCAAACATTTCACTTCTGTGATGCTGTTAACTATTTTTATTGAGATGCATACACATGTTATATGTTTCTTTCAGGAACTTCTTTCTACAGTTTTGAGACATTAAAAGATTTAAGCTTAAAGAATTTCCCTGACTATGTAGCCCGCCCTAGTTCCACAAATCCTGACAAGCTTGTGTTAATTATGCCAGCCAAAGTTGTTTTTGGAGGAATTGCCGGAGCTATGGGACAAACTTTGGCGTAAGTACAGTACATGTGACATGTGATGGATAAAAAAACACAAACAGAAACACAAAATAAGGTGTTCCCATAATTTTGATCAAATTTTCTATTTAGATGATTTCCAGAAGATATACCTGGTGAGTATTTCAGTCTCAAGATGTTTCTAAAATTCTTTACCTCCTTAATTAAGAAAACTTTAAAAAAAAGTCACATAAGTATTAATACCATACAGTGAAACCTTGTATGACAAAATCTATCAATATTTTCACTCATGCTTCGCACTCTTTATAAATAACGACATTCTGCCATGCAAGTGGAATATATATGGTACGATATATATTCCTTTGAAAAACCATACAATTGTCTATTCATTACATTTTGGAAAGTAACATGATGCAAATATTGCTGTACTTAAATGTCCTCAATAGACAAAACGATATTTCACACATGTTCTAACCCTACTATAGGTATCCGCTGGATGTCGTTAGAAGAAGAGTCCAATTGGCAAGAATGCTACCAGATTCCGACAAGTATCGGAGGTAAACCTAAAACTGTTATCAAACCTATTTAATGACTACAAGTAAATTGGGTTAGAAAGTTCTTAGTTAACTTAAATATCACAGCACAAACACTGTATTTCCCACCCCAGACCATTTTATAATCCAACAGGATTTTGGGGGTTGTAGGGCATAAACAAATTCATACTACAACATTCTTGGAGCCTTGAACCCTGGTTTATCTGTGTCGAAGGCCGAAGTTTTAAGTTATAATCAACATGTCATATTTACCCATAATTGAACACTCCTTCCTCAGAAATAACTACAGCGTACTTTACGAATTGGCATAAGATTTTAACAGTTTAATTAAACAATAATAAGGACAAACTGACTTTCAGGGATCCCTTAAATAAAATGAGTACTAAAATGAAATTTCTACCCTTTCTATCAGTTTGTTTGCAGTATAAGTAGCGTCTTTTCCCACCTATTACTGAGAATGCCTGTATATGGAATTAATCCCAGGCCCTTATTCCATATTTGGTTCAACCAGTTTGTCTATTTTAAAATGTAAAATTTACGGGAATAAATACTGGCGGACCTGCAAATGTTTATGCAGGCCTTACAAGGCTTTATCAAGGCTCACCTGAAAGCAGCATCAGATTACTAGGTCTGACCTTATTTCATAAACAAACAACTCTGGTCCAACCGGTCCAACTGTTTGGATCGCAATAAACAAATGCGGCCCTACTATTATTGTGAATGTCTGAAAGTGGACTTGTTCCGTCTATATATTTTGACAGGAGGTGGTACCAGATACTCATTATGATATACAAGGAAGACGGTGTGCCTCGGGGACTATACCGTGGAATGAGCATAAACTATTTGAGAGGTGCACCAATGTATGCAGTGTCCTTCACGATGAACGAAATATTGAAAGAGATGTTTGGGCTGGACACAAGTTCTTGACGAGAAGACAGTATTCATTTTCCATATTTGTATTTGTTAGGATAGCTGCTAGTTCTAGTTGTGTGTCTTAAGAACTCATTTTACTTTGTGAATTTTATAGTTAAAGTTTTACTTGACTTGAGAAATGAGGTACATAATGCAGTTTGCTTTTGGTCCACGTAAATGTAGACCAATTTTCTCTTTGTGATAGCGTAATTTGTGCAATGTGTGATGTACCAGACTGCGGTTAGTATGTCAGTATATTTTGATACTATGTGTTTTATGGGGGATTTTCTTCGAAACAGCATTCAGACCAAAACTTATTCAGCATCTACTTACAGATATGTCTTTTGTATGTAATCTTGTCTCATACAAAATTTGGCATTCTTTCAACAGAACCAAGTTTCACAAATGTTCTTGAAGTTTTTCTATTGGAAAGAAAATCTTGACTTAAGGAAATTCACCGAACTCAAGATTTTCCCCTGACTTCAGAAATGCTTTCTAATAGCTCAACTCAATTTAAGAATATTTTGAAGTTAAGGAACATTCCTGAAACTTGGGCCTGATCCCAGTTGTATTAACTAGGAGTTATCTCAACATTGACCAGCTTTAAACAGGTTTACAAGTGGAAGACTCATTACTGGCTTACTGGTTTTGCCAGTCCGGCTCGTAAGGGCTATAGAATAAATTTCAAATAGGATTTTTGTGGGGAAAAAATCAGTTTCAAATTTTGAAATTGGTTAGAATGCCATGAAGCTTGATTGATGTACATGGACCAGCGATTTATGAAAAGAATCATTCAAAGAAATCCAATTTTTACTATCACAACAGTTATCAAAGTTTTTAAACATTTTTTTAATTGACCAGTTCTTGGATTTTGTGTGATCTGCAATATTCCTCAGTATTGTTATTCACTTTATTGCATGAATTATGCCCGTAGGTTGATATTCTCGAATACTTGAGTTAAAAATTAAGCAGATGCTATCAGATGTTAATATTCAGGAATAAGTTTGTTTGCACTTATTCCTGGATTTTTACTCGCTACCAGTGTGAACTCTGTAGTGGTATCCACGGTACTATCGACCAAGAAATCTCTCATTCACCCCTGAAGACACATTTTGAACTCCATCAATTCAAAGGTTGGAATAGTTCATAATGAAATTTTAGGGGTGAAAGAGTTAAGTCAGTTAAGGTATCCCTTTGCTACTTAAAAGTAAAACCAAGTAATAAAAATGAAACAAATTGAAACTCTTCTTCATTGGAGGTACAGCACAAGGCACTAAGATTCTCTGCCTTAAATAGGTACAGCACAAGGCACTAAGATTCTCTACCTTAAATAATTCAAAATTACCCATACCACAGCAACCATGTATGTTGTTTTTCATTTTGTTAATGAGGACAGTTCAAATCTATTCCATCATTGCAAAATGTTTGAAATCAAATACCAATTTTGACAGTATTTTGATGATTTCATTATCCAGACATATTGCCATTCAACCATGTTTGTATGATTACTACCATAGCTTTACAAAGATCGGGTCATAGTCAGAAACATTTGGGCGAGTACCATAAAGCTGTTTAAGAGTATGTAATTTTATTAGATACTTGTTATATTTTTTTTGTATTTTTTTTGTTTTTAAATTTTATTCTTAATATTTGGCCTAAAAATGTGTTTCCCATGACTTTTAGTGGGAAAGGAAAGTGTCCTGACAAACACTGCTTCATTGGAATATTGTCAATAAGGACATTAATGATACAACACAGAAAAAGAGATTGAAAGCAGTCTATGGGTCATTATGCACTAAATCTCTTTAGCGCCAGACACTTTTAATCTGTGCAAACATTTTATATACTCCAGTGATTTTAGTACCAGTGTGACTGTGGTGGATGTGTTGTTATATTTTGCTTTAGTTCACATGGAGGGTGAATGACCAATTTTGTTATCTTGTAAAAAACTTCCATACAAAATACATTTATAAATTTTTGATAGATCTAATGAGTAGTGATAATTTGTGTATGTAATTAATAGTCATAATTGAATACATCAGATGAATTAAGGTCAAGATTGCTATCAGATTAATGATTGGGCTTATTGGCATGATTATGTATGTTTATTGAATTGGCCAGCCTTCCGGACGCTAATCTATAGGCATCGCGTCGTGCTTATTTTCTACAGGTGTATTCCATAGTTTATGAAACATAACTTTGTGATGCAGTTCAAAGAATTGGAACCAGAAATGAACGAATATGAAAAACAGGAATTCCATGGGGTCGAAATTAGGACCTATCCACCACCAATCCACCAATCCACCACCAATCCAATACATTACCAATGTTGCTATCCAGGAATTTCAAATGAATAGTAGCAAAATGAAAAACGAAAGTTAAAAGTTATTCTCTTGGAAAGGTAGTTTTATCGTCAATATAATGGCGAATACTCTAGCATATCTGAAGTGGAAATCATAAAATGTAACTGATGCAGTGTAAAACTTTCGCTTAGCATTGAAGTTGTTCTAACAAGGGTCGATGGATGAATTTAAATTCATGACCTATAACTAATATAATATAATGTCAAAAATAGGAGTGTTAAAATGTAAGGTTGGATACATATAAATGTGTTTAAAGTACGGTATATTTTATTGAAGTGTTTTTAAAAAACGATTGTAGTGTTGAATGATTTTGTGAGTGATAGCGTTATTAATATATATGGAATGTCACTGTAAAACATTCCTAACCCCATATGTATTTAGTTTGTCAATGAATTTTTGTTTGATTTTTAACAATTTTGCTTTATATATATTATAGTTGCATTATTAACAATGTTGAATTTGTTTTATTATTTTACATATATATGTAAAGCTGTGTGTGGTAGGCCTTGAATTGCTTACTGTTTTAATTGGCAAATTTATTTTTAAGCTAACTGCCCCTCAATTCGGAAATAGGTTCTACACCTACATGCACCTCCAATTTTAATGCCCATCTTTAAAATTCATTGTTGGTAACACACACATTAAAGCAAGAAAAAAATGGCAGTTTTTTGTAATTTAAACCATATTCAGCTCTTGTACTATACATGTTCCATTTTGTAGGGACAGATTTTGTTGTGATATGTTCAACCTTTGCCCATGAAATCAATTTTCGCCCAGTGTTAAATTCACCATTCACATTTAATTGCTGTGTATATTATATTGTTTGATTATATTCGCTGTAATGATAAATTCGCCAACATGACCGAGGGCGACCAAGGCAAAAGTCAAACTGCAGTGAAAATTTCCCGGTAAACAGTAAGGTGTTCATTACACATGTATGATACAATACCAAGATATATAGCAGGTTTTGATTGGCCAAGAAATGACTGTTTTTGCATGATATACAGCAGCCTCTAATTGGTCGTAATTATTAAAATTCAAAGTACCATCTTTTGGGTAAAGCAAAGTGCACTGAAAAATGTTAAATAATAAATAATAATAATAATAATAATAGACTTTATTTAAATTCGATAACACATTGAGTCAATGACTCGTCTCACATGTGGTCGACATAAAATGTACAATATTTACAACAAAAATGAGGGCCGTGAAAGTCAAGGCTTGTGAAAAAAAATATAGACCACTTTAAAGAACTATCTCTTGTTCGTATCCTCCCAACCATTTGAACTGTGGTACATAAAACTGGCCAGTTAATTTAAAGTAGTCTCCCTTGAAAGATTTTTCTTTAAAAAATCTCTGTAGTATCCTACATGCTTGCTTACATTTTTCTCTTTATGATTCAGGTGTTAATATTATATATACAATATTTATCATATAAAGTCAACACCATTGTATGGTCTCTTTGCTTTATTGTATAAAAATACAATTCTATAGACGAGCAGGTATCCATCCAAAGTGTATATATCTTCAGTGGAAGTAGACTGGTCTTGATTTGTACTATAACCTGTAATTACAAGGGAATCAAAGACAAGTGTCTATTACTAAGCATTCAAATTGAAATAATTTGGTGTGCTTGCCTGGACCGCCAAGACTGGAATGGCAACTGCTTCCACTTTATTTTTCCACTAAAACTTGTGACACACGAGTCACTACATGCAGTCACATGCCCCTCACATTCAATTACCTGTACTACCTTGTCCTACACACTGTGACACTACTATGTTTATAAACCTTGGTGTCATGCCACTATGATAAATTCATGTATTGTTGATCTATCAGAGAGTCTTCTAAGATTTAATTTCAAAGTTTTATTTCTANAATCTTAAAAGAAGTCTAATATTAACAGCCTTTTTGGGGGTGGGGGTGGGGGTGTTACATGTGCTAATATAACCTATCACAGAACTTATAACAAAGCACTAAATCAATTTATGAATTACATTCAAAGGAAGTAACAAATGATGTCAGTATTAAATATATGTTGTTCACATGTTATTATAATCCAACCATCTATCACAAGATTTTTAATCAACTTTCAGGCATAAAAGTTATCTAATCGGACATACCGGTACTTTACAAATTCACTTTGTTTTTATAATTGATATATATTTTTAACATTTTTTTTTTTTACATATACCATTAAATGTTCAGTTACTATGTATGGTAAATGCAGTCTTTAACTCATTCACTCCTGAAGACACATTTTAACTCCTCAGTTCACATGTTGGAATAGTTCATTATTATTTTCAGGGGTGAATGCGTTTAAGGTGGGTATTTGCCAGAAGTAGAACTCAGGGTAAATGTATAGTGTTTTGGGCATATATATCAAGTTACCCTGTAACTGCTCTTTTATACAGCTGTCCTTATATCTAAAATTGTTGCACAATAATGTTATAACACGGCACACTTTGCAAATTAAAAAAAGCTTTTATTTTAATGTAACACCAACAAAACATTTAACATTAAAAAATAGATTTTAAAGAATTTCCAAATTTTTTAATATTTTTAAAAATGGATGTTTTTTTTATGACCGAATACAGGGATTGAATCTGGATTTGTCCAATGTTCATGCAAGTTTGAAGTGGTGGGGCGAAGGGGCGGGGATTTTACTTTCACACCACATGAGCAGCCATAGAGAAGACGAAGATGATAAAAAGATAATAAACAATAGATCTTGCAACTTTGTTCACGGAGAGTTTGGTTTATGTAATGGAAGACAAATCAAATGACAGTGATCTTGAAAAATGGGGATTTGGAAAATCTTAAAAGAAGTCTAATATTAACAGCCTTTTTGGGGGTGGGGGTGGGGGTGTTACATGTGCTACTATAACCTATCACAGAACTTATAACAAAGCACTAAATCAATTTATGAATTATATTCAAAGGAAGTAACAAATGATGTCAGTATTAAAGATATGTTCGTTGAAATTAAAAAAAAATCAATGTAATATCAAGTTTACCATTCTGACCATTATGGTACCTTTAGTTGGCTAAGGAATATCATGTTCTTTTCAATTTAGATGTATATGCAAGTTAATTTCAAAGTCCAAACATCGTTAATAGAGGCAGCACCCTCATGAGGTTCAACAGTGACTATACAGAGAAATTGGTGTGTAGAGGGTCTGGTCTCTTACGAAATATGTGCTTTAACATGCTTTAAATAATCAAACCGATGTGATACGTACAGGCCTAGTGAATGTCTTGTGGATATATTTGAAGGCTGTGAGTCACGAAAATCCGGTTGATAATATATTGTTTAATATCTTGCTGTGTATTTAATATAAATTAATATATTTTAATTGTTTATGCTGTAAAATGTCAAGTATTTGATTAATTCCCATTGCAAGACTACTAAAACTAACTTCTATAATAAATCATTTTGATTAAAACCAGATCATAATTTATTTCAATGCGAGAGTTACTATGCCTAATATTGTAGCAAATCAGGATCTAATGTTCGTCAAATTGATCATTAATGTTCTAGAAACCCTCTTGAATGTATTACTTATATTTAATCTACAATATAATCTAAACGTCTTGTGCTTCTTGAAAATTTTACTTACCTGTTTGTCCAATGTCTACACTGTTACAAAGACAAATCTATACAAGTTTACCTGTTTAATGTGCATTCAAAAATCCTTGTAATATCGCCACAAGTTATTCAGTAGAGTATTGACATTATAAAGGGATTTGGCAATAGATTAAGATTAAGTTATAAATCGGAAGGAAAAGTTCACATTATTTTCCTTTGATAATTTTTCACTTAAGAGGATTGAATTTCCTTAATATGGGTGTCTGTGACATGAACTCTCCATTTGACAGGAATCTTCTTGGACGTGTTAATTTTTATTTTGTTTTACTGTAATAGTGGTTCAGCCGAGGGATGTGCAACTTTTTAGGTCACCTGAGACAAAGTCTCAAGTGACCTATTGCGATCCCCTTTTGTCCGTCGTCGTCCGTCGT